CTTTCCTGTGAAAAATCTCCGTCCTGCGGCGCCGGGGCAAGCCCAGCACCAACAGTAGAGCACCCACGGGGACACATCTCGAAGAACAACAGTTACTGCAACAAGGTGAGTAACTTCGCTTTCTCTAAAAAGTTAGGGATCTGAACTCAAGTCACTAAGATAAGTGGAAAGAAGCCAGTTGTTTTCAGATTAGGCCCTATAGATTATATCTTGTATTTGATCACCTGCCTCTGTCTCGAATCACACTGGATACCAAAGTTTTCAGTCCTTAAGAATAAATGGGCGGCAAGTTACCAGATAAATGATTTTTTTTTTAAATAAAAGGTTTGTCTTGACTTCAGTTTGCACTGATGGATTTTGTCCAGGAGTATGAACATTTTTGTAACAAGCACAAATTGAGTAGGATGGAGATAAAGGATAAGAGAAAGCAAAGGTAAGCCACTGTTTGCAGTGTTTTCGACTCTATTAAAGTCAACTTAATCTAAATAATCCCTCTATGACTCGCTTCTTCCATGCTGCCCGCGAGTGAGTCAATAATCCCATGATGCATAATCACTTGTAACTGAATTATCAAAATGTGCACATCTAAAATGAGCTGCCACGTTATCCCATTGCTTGTATCCTTTGTCGTCCTCCCCCAGGCATCTTTCCTCATGTCTGTCACTAACTCCTCTTATAATCTTTATAGTGCTCCTCTCCAACCCGTGAGATTATGTGCTGAGCCTCTAAGAGGTGCAGGTGAGGGAGGAGGGCTATGATGGCTGTGAAGCCATTTTTGGGCCTTCCTGCTCCAGAGATTGGAGAGGTCCTGGCCTAAATTACACAGCTCTGAGCACGTGTCTAAATTTTGGCAGCCTCCAAGAGCTACCTTGTGTGCCATAGCATCAGTGATCTGGGTTGGCCCAATGTGCACTCTGTTGCCAGAGCTTCCAACAGGGTCCTTTCATGTCACCTGTATAGAGAGAGTCCACACCTGCTGGTATTCAGAACCCTTTTCATTGGTCAGGCCTCTTAACTTGGTATTAAGAATCAATGCAGAGGTGGGGATCTCACTCCATGTACCTCTCTTATGTGCTAGGCACTTTACAGAAACACCGTGGCGTTCTGTTACAACGTGATATACAGCAGCTTTCCTTTAAAAAACTAGACCTTCTGTCAAAAACAGACACCTTAAGGACCTATTTCTGCAGATCCCAGTTACCCAGTGAAAGGTTTGTATCACAATTTAAATGTTGGTACTTAAGCTTTTCTGGCTAAAAATACCACTTTTTGCACATGTTAACTGCTGATGTTATCAACAGGATGGCACTCTTAGAGGTGGGGCATTTCACTAAATTAATTTGGCTGGAAATAGTGTGTGTGCATGTTCCTTAGGCTTAGCTTGAGAGTGCACTGAGGACAGACACCACTTCCTTTTTATGTCTGCTCAGGGAATCTGATCAAACTGATGGCTACAATCATATAATAGTAGTTATGTAAGTATAAAGTACACAGGAGTCATGCCCTTCAGTTTGGATTAATAGCAAACTCAGACTTGGCATGAGCAAAAGACTGGTTTGAAGGAGGGCTTAGCAGGTTCTCGTAACGGAAATGCAGAGGCACTGGGGGCTAAGCACACAGGGAGGAGCACATCTGGGGTTTAGTAGAAGAGGATAAGCAAGTGCAGAAAGCAACAGAATCTTGAATCACGATTAATTTAAAACAAAGCACAAGCCTCAGGAAAAATACCATTTCCAAGAGGGAGCAAGTCCTGTCCCCTCTCACATGTTTTTTTCTAAAATAATTAACGAATTGAGCTGCCAGCAGCCTCCTGCTTCTCCTCTCTTTGTAACCTGATTTTCAGAGGCACATGTTACTAAGAGAAAAACAGCACTCCCTGAAAACAGATTGTTGTTTTGTGCCGCTTTTGTTGTGTGTGGTCTGGGGTTAAGAATGGGGACTATAGAGGAGGAGGGTGGGGAGTGCAGAATAAATCCTAGATCTCTGAATCACTTTAAAACACAGCAGCCAATGTTTTTTTTCAAATAAAAACTTACCCTGACTTTTGGGAACCTGCTCATGGTCCAGGGTGGATCAGTTCCAGCTGGTGATACAAGTCTGGAAGAAGAGGGGCACAAAACAACTGAACTGTTGTTAATTAAATGCTCAGCTGGAGTCTGAAGGGAAGCATCTTTTTAGGAGCACAGCAAGAACCAGCAAAGTCTTTTTCCGGGCAGGGAGAGCTAGTCTGCAGGTTTCTCACAGGTACAGTAAAAGGCACCTCAGGCCATTTCTGCAACAGATTGTGTTTTTTTTACAGTGTGCCACCTCTTACTGGAATAACCCACTCCCAGTGTGCAAAGAAAAAAAAAGTCATCATATTGCTTGGAGGTGCTACTGCACTCAAAGCTAATCATGTTATGAAGAGCAGCTCATCTCCCCCTGAAAAGGGGAGAGTGGACAGGAAATGCAGTAATCCTGAACAAAACTGATTGTTTGGGGGGGTAGAAGGAGGGGGTAAGTGAAATGTGGGGAGTGGAGGTGAAGAAGATGGACTGGAGTAAAAGGAAGGATTTTTGTTTGTCCCAGATTCTGGAATGATAGCTGGAGGTATCTGGGATTTTGCAGGCTTTCTCTAGTCCCTAAAAATCTGATGGGGTGAAAACCAAGGTTAGCTAGAGAGAAAAGGATGGGAAGAATTTGTTAGTTTCAGCCAGCCCCAGCAATGGCTTAAACAAACAAATAAAGTTGCATTGACAATGTAAACATCATGAATATTTACCGCCTTGAATATTTTAAATAGAAAGGCAGGGTAAAAATATTTAAATAAATAAAAAATAAATCATGCAGTGAAATATTCAGCATGTACAGCATCTGCTTTCTTCCATCAATTCCAGCACTTTAAATTGCTCCTCTTTTTGGCATCTCCGGCTGGTTTCGCAAAGCGTGCTGAGAGAGACTAGAAGTTGTTTCTTGTCCAAGTCTTTATGTTCAGACTACAGCTGCTTCCCCCCTTATCTCTGCTCACATTTTCCCATATGGTAACTTTGGAAAATTCCTCTCCAATTTCACTGGAAAGGACAGGAAATTCTCTTTGGGAGACGGTTGCCTATTTCTCTCTCTAGTTTTGTTGCTCACATCTGGAAAGGATCTGATTTGGGAAAGGGAAAATATCTTTCTGAGCTCAGTGTGTGTAACTGACATGGCATGAACTAAGGGGAGCCTATGGGGGCAAGAGAAACGCTTTTCTCCATTCATTTGATCTCTGTCAACAACGGTGAGTTGTTTTAGCACTTTATTTTGTAACAGCTTGATACACTAAGAGCATTGAAGAAGCCTGTCTTTTAGCTACAGCCTTTAAAACAGACATTTTTAATGCAAATAACAAATACACGTGACCTACTGATCCTAAAACCAAATGAAAATCATGTGGATTTTTTTTTAATTGAGACTATCTTGTAAGGCTGAGCATGGAGAACTATAGACATTATGGTAAATATAGATAACATGCTTATGCTGTTTATTCAGATCTTTCTTGCTGTACTGTACTCCTGCAACTTCACTGGCTGCTTGAGACTGCTGAAACATTGCTGTTGGTACTGCAGTGGATGATGGTAGCTGAAATGAAATGGAATAAATTTGGTTCTATATGGGACAGTGCGCAGTGAAATCAGAAGGTGCAGCCACCCCAGAAGAAACCCTGCATTGACTGCCAATACAACTGCAATTTTGTTCTGAGGTACAGGGCCTGATCCAAAGTTTACTGAAGTCTTCATTGACTTCAGTGGACTTTGGATCAGGCCCTTAGTAAACTAATGGGTTTTGAATTATGCTCTTAGTGAATTTAACAAGGTTAATATCTCTATGTTTTCTATGAACTAAGAGAAATTAAAATCCCTGCCCATTTTTACGTCCAGAACTCTGGAAGCAAGCAGATGTTTCTTACACAAAGTGTCACTCTGTGTCACCATAGCAACTGTTACTTCATCGGCATTGCAGCAGAAAAGCATATACTGATGGCAGCAGTGTGAGACATCCTCTTGCATATTAGAAGATGGATACCTGATTTCACACACACACCTCACGTTAGTCAACTGCTGTCTCTGTGAACATGTCAGCAAGCACTCTTTTTTAATCCCAATATAGTAAGTTCAATGATAGCTCTGGTGTAAACTGGTGTAAACTGCATTGACTTCAATGTAGTTACACCAGGGCTGCCTCTGGCTGTGGTTTAAGATATTTTAATGTTGTCTTTTTTGTCATCAACTGGAAGAACAAATCAATATATAATTAAATCAGCAAATGTAGTTTTCTAGCTTTTCAGTACTTTCAGAAGACATCAGTAAATATGAGGTAACAAAGATGGATTGCAGTAAACCAATTAGCTGGGTCAAGTTTTTGAGGTCAGGTCTGGTACTAAATACTCTAGAGTTCTACCTGCCTCACTGGGAGCAGACACAACGCACTGCATTTTTTATCTTATACAAATGGACATCTAGAGTAGCTCTGTTCAAATCCATGAATTTGATTTAGATTTACATGAATATAGCTGGCAACAGAAATCTGGCCTAGTTACTTCTGACGTGCCTAAAGCTTTCTAAAAAGAGACATTCACAGGAATTATTCTAACCTGCAGCCAGAAAAATAGAAGTTGAATAATAGCCAAGGCTCTAAGGTTCAGATTAATGTTGCTGTCCAAAATCAATAGAAAATCCAAGCCATATCTTACTTCAGTAGCTCAGATTTTGTTACTGTTCAATGCATATAAACAGATCCAGTGTAGGGTCATCCTGACAGCATGAGTCACTGTTTTCCAGCACACCTTGTTTACATTAACCAGGGTACTGTGCAGGGATGAGAATTTCCATATGCAAAACTTTGTGGAACATTATGATCAACAGTTACATAAAAATAACATTGCATAATCTCATATATAAATCTCCCCAAGGACCTGGTGGTGTTTCTCAGTCAAAGAAAGGGACTAACTTACTTCAGTAGCCAGACCTAGTTCAGCTGATTCTGCTATGCCTGCAGCTACTAGGGCATGGGGTATCCACTCTTGGGTTAAGTTGGGACAATGCAGAGTTTCATACTGGTCTGCATGGTACTGCCCAGTCACATGGTCTTGACTCTCTTTGTTTCCAGCTTCTAAATTGCTTAAAATAATCTGAAAGTACATATATAGAGAGTAAAGATGGGCCAGGGGGTAGGGTGTTATCCTGTGGCTGGGGAGCACAAGGCTCAAGTCCAGCTTTGCCACAAACACCTCTGTAACCTTATGCAAGTCTCTCTGGGCTTCTCTACAATATGCGGAAGATTGATGCTTCTAGTGAAGACCCACTAATTCAAACTGAGAGGGCAGCCCCACTGATGCCAGTAGTCCTGCTCCTCATGAAGAGTAAAGGAAGTTGTCAGGAGCGTTTGCTTCCATCGACCTCCCGCTGTGTGGACAGCATGGAAACACAATTTAAGATAAGTTGACTCCAGCTACGTAATTAATGTAGCTGGGGTTATGTATCTTAAGTCGACTTTCCCCTTTATTATAGACAGGCTTTTGTGTTTTAATTCCCACTCTGATGCTAATACCAGTGCCCTAGTTAATTGGGGCACAGTAAAGATAAATGCAATTAAGACCATAAGGTACTCTGATGCTCTTGTTATATGGGTCATATAGAGATACCAAGAAAACAATAGGGTTTAAATTAGCTGGTACCACTCAAGAAAGAGATCTTGGAGTCATTGTGAATAGTTCTCTGAAAACCTTCACTCAATGTGCAGCAACAATCAAAAAAGCAAAGAGAATGTTGGGAAGCATTAAGAAAGGGATAGCGAATAAGACAGAAAAAGCATACTGCCGCTATATAAATCCATGGCATGCCCACATCTGGAGCACGTGGCATTGGCCAATGTTGGAAAACAGGACACCAGGCTAGATGGACCTTTGGTCTGACCCAGTTTGGCCGTTCGTATGTTCCATAGCTGGACAGATGAAATATTTTCCTAATGTTCCACATGAGCAACTACTACAGTCAGGAATTCTATGTGATCACAAATAGGAGGGGACAGTGGGTCAGTATCTGTGAAGAGTTTTCTGTTGAATCACAAGTGCCACTGCTCTGTAGGTGAGATTGCTATGTTA